ATATTTTGCTTTGTATGATGAATAGAACAGGAAAAAAAAAAAAACCCAACCCATGTCTATACCCTACGTGGCCTAGCACCAGGGACATATTTGTTGTTTAAAATATTAGATGGCAAACTTATGTTATAACAGAGCAATATTAATAATGAAAGCTCAATGTAAATAAAATGCACATGGTTCGTATCTCCCAGGAGGAAAGCAAAGAAATTAGTATAAGTCTGAGCACAGAACTTGAACTTTACATTAAGCAAGTTAATAATAATATTTATATAGTGTTTTACATATCTCAAACCCTTTCAAGCTACTGTTACCCTATTAATTTCTAGTGATTCAGCAATGACATCAGTGAGAGTCATAGAGGATGGCATTTATTTTAATTGTGTACAGGAAATGGGTAATATGACATCTATGTGGGAGTCTCATGATGTGGGGGAGATACAAAAGGAAAAGTAAGATTTGATATTCGAATAAACTCGAAATATCAAGAAAATGTAGGCCCGGGTGTGGTGGCTCACGCTTGGGAATTCCAGCACTTTGGGAGGCCGAGGTGGGAGGATCCCTGGAGACTGGGAGTTGGAGACCAGCCTGGGAAACTCTGTACAAAAAAAGAAGAAAAAAATAGCCAGGCCTGGTGGCACATGCCTGTGGTCTCAGCCCAGCAGATTGAGGCCACAGTGAGCCATGATGGTGCCTCTGCACTCCAGCCTGGACTACAGAGTACAACTGTGTCTCAAAAAATAAAGAAAAGAGGCTGGGCGCAGTGGCTCATGCCAGTAATCCCAGCACTTTGGGAGGCCGAGGCAGGCGGATCACCTGAGACCAGGAGTTCCAGACCTGCCTGGCCAACATGGTGAAACCCCATCTCTACTAAAAGTGTAAGAATTAGCCAGGCCTGGTGGCGCACGCCTGTAGTCCCAGCTACTCCAGAGGCTGAGGTGGGAGAATCGCTTGAACCTGGGAGTGGAGATGGCACCACTCACTGTTGCCTGGGCGACAGAGTGAGACTCTGTCTCAAAAAGTAAATAAATAATAAAATAAAATAAATTAAAATAAGAGAAAAGAAAACCAAATTTATAGTAGAATATAAATTTGGTAAGAAAGAGATTGCAGCCACAGGTCAGTGGCTGGTGAGATGGGCTTTGGAAGCTTGTTTGATAACAAAAGCTCCAGGTCTCTTAGAAACTTGGATGTCCCAAAGCAAGGAGGAGTCGAGTCCATTAAGCTTGATGTATTTTCTTCTTTTGTTTTCTTTCTTTCTTTCTTTCTTTTTTTTTTTTTTTGAGATGGAGTCTCACTCTGTCACCCAGGCAGAATGCAGTGGTGTGACCTTGGCTCACTGCGACCTCTGCCTCCCGGGTTCAAGCAATTCTTCTGCCTTAGCCTCCCAAGTAGCTAGGATTACAGGCACGTACCACCACATCCGGCTAGTTTTTGTATTTTTAGTAGAGACGGGGTTTTACCATGTTGGCCAGGGTGGTCTTGAACTCCGGATCTCAAGTGATCTGCCCACCTCGGCTTCCCAAAGTGCTGGTATTACAGGCATGAGCCACCTCTCCGCCACAGATGTATTTTCAAAGCGTAAGCCACCTCCATCTAAGAGGCCAAGCTGTACACTTTTTTTGTTTAAGACAAATCGGAGAGAACAGAACATAATCATTAGAGGTGTGGAAAGATACCTAGAGTGAATGTCATCAACATATGCTGTCCAGAAGTGGAAAGAAGGGGGAAATGGTGGGCCAGACATGAAGTCTTTGAAGATTTCCAAAAGGGGCTTGGAGACCGAGAAATGCTGTCACCAGAGATAGGGTGGAAGGGTGGTGAACAGGAGTCTACTGTTTAGAAATCATTGTAGTTTGTTCTTACAAGTTGGGCAGGTTTTTGGTACAATTATATAACTACACATACATTCAGGGTATTGAAATGAATGATGTACTATACATGTAATTACATGTAGCAAAATGTGTACTTTTATTTGGTGGGTATTTACATATAGTACAGCGAATAGTGTACTTAAAAATAATTAACATAAAATATTATTTTAAAAACAAAGCAATTAAAAGTAGTTTGGTTTTCTTGAGCTCAAAAAAAAAAAAAAAAAAAAAAGAATCTGGAATCTTCCTTTCATTTATTCCAGTAGTCTATGCCAAATCATTCTAAACGGCAGTCACCAAAGACAAAAGAGTCATTCCCTCTGTTATTCATAATCTTTTGATATAAGGAAAAGGGATTTTCAAATGTAAAGTGTCTCAAAACTTCTGTCTCGCCTTAGTCCTGAATTTAAAACATTTACAAATTCAGGCAGCTTGAATGACTACCTTGATATAATTTTGAACTTCTGTTTGTAAAATTAAGATTCTCCACCTGACTTTTTATTAAGACTTTTTATTCCTTTATACCATGCATCAAAAGAGTCATATCTTTATGCTTGTTTATGAATAAATTATGATGTAAGCATTTAGCATTATGAATTGTTTCTGATTATTTCTTGTTGAAAACTATTTGAAACTTGTTCTAGTTTGGATGCAAAAAAAAATTCAGAAAATGGATTAAGGTTTTAGAATGAACCTCTTGATTTTTCCTTTGAAGTATATCTGATTTCTGAGTTTTTTTCATTTTCCTTCTAGCTTGGTAAAAATTACAGATTATTCCCCAACTTTTCTTGGGGATAGAGTTTCTTAACTTTAGGTGAAACTTAATTGTATGAGTCCATAATAAAAGACTCTTATGTGGGGTAAAGAAAATTGATTTTTAAAATAATGCCTTATAGTGTAAGACATTTTTCAATGTGGAAGAAATTCTTGATAGTTAATTCCTTCAAGGAATTAGTTGAAATATAACAGAACAACTTCTAAATTTGAATCTTTAGAAAACAACACGACACATTTGCATTTCTTGGGTCTGCCAACGAGGGCCAATTTAGTAGTAATCTACCCATATTTTGGAGAACTGGACAATTTTTTTTTTTTTAACCTTAGTGGATTTAATAAACTATATGTAGATGTCAGGGAAAGGAGAATCCACTAGTGTTAGGAGGACAGGAAAGAATGAACTCCCAAAAGCACTTTACAATTTTCTGCAAGTTAAATTAGATAGTATTATCACATCCCCCATGTGGCTACTTAACACTTTTTAGGCAAAATAAAATGGGCCAGAAAAGAAATTTAGGAATTCTGGACTAAAATATTAATTATTTAGTTACCTTATTTGGGGCTAAGCTGTATTTCATGTAAAGGCGTCAGGAACAAACATCATCTTGGTCAGTTCCTCCATCTGATGACGGGGGGCTTGATTTTGAAAGCTTGGGTGGCAAGTTGGTCATATACTTGGAAATTGTGAGATTTCATCCCCTAAAGGAAGAGCCTGAGTATCGAAAAGTGACCAAATGCCTGTGGATTTTTTTTCCCTTGTTTTTCATTCTAAGTAATATTAATTATGCATCCAGGTGCCCGAGGTATTTCTTGGTAGTGGGCCATTTATCTTGAGAACTTACCTGCCTCTCACACTGTTCTGGGAGGTCATAGCCATTACTGTATTATCTTTGTAGGTGCCAGTGGAAATCTAGGTCCTAAAACCTATAAAATATTTTCTAAATATTTTATGCAGTGCACAGCTTTGTAGATCCACTCTGCCAGTGGGTACTCGGGTTTTTACAATGGTGAGGGTGAAAGTCAATCTGAAACAATAAAAAAGAAACAAAATAGTCTTTGGAAATAAATACAATTTGCTTTTATTCTGTGTCTATACTTGCTCAAGAAAAATAAAGTGCATTTTAAAAACTTTTTTTAGGTCTCTGCTGTTTCACTCAACCCAGATAACTTTTGATCAGTGGTTTATTTTGAATGATTTTCTTTTTACAAAGTAACGTTTTATGGTGCTGCTGAAAGTTATTCTAAACCCCCCCCCCACCCCCTGCAGAGAGCAACAAGGTTTATGTAACGCAGAGCTTTGGTGGGAGAAATCTAAATTGTATTTAAATAGAGGTTAACCGCTGGGCCATCCAATACAGTGTGTCTGTACTAAGTCAGGTTAGCATGTAAATAATATAAATATAACCAGAAATGTAACAAGGGTATTTAATAGTCATCAGATTTATTTCTAAAATATTGCCATGGATTCAGAATCCTGAATTCCAACCAGATGTATTTCGGGAGTATTACACAGGTCATATATATTTCACTTTTTTGGTTCAAACCCAGGGGATCTACACGATAATTAGATTGAGAACATCTGCATCAAATCCAAACCATTTCCCTGATCCTTCCTTGAGCCTTCCTCATGGGAGGGATTTCTGTTTTTTTTTTGTTTTTTTTTTTGTAAAGCCCCTGCACATTTTATTTGTCTAGCCACCTTTAGCGCAATTCCTAGGTCTCGCCTGCCTGCCACCGCAGAAATAGACGTGCAAGGGGAAGGCGGAAGCACCCCCCCACCCCCACCGCCTCCCAGAGTGTGGAGGCATCCTTAGAAGTCGCATTCCTCGGGACAGGACTGTCCCGCGGTGGCAATGCCTCTTCCCGCCAGGGGCCTGACTCTGGGACAGGGCGTGGCCAGGCGCGGGGGCCCGGTGCGCCGGTGGGCACGTGCGCGGGGACCCGAGGACCCGAGTGTCGGGGCGCCGCTGCCCTCTACCGGGCGGTGCGGTCGGAGCTACCGCGCGGCGACCGGCCGACTGCGCGCGCGGGCTGGGGCGCCCCACACGGAGGCAGCCCTTGGCCACCGGAGATCCGCAGTGCCCTGCTCTGCGCGGCGTCACCGCATCTGGGGTGGAGGCTCGCGACGTGCCCCCCGACGCCAGCGCGCTCCCACCCACCGGCGAGTCAAAGTTGCGTTGGGGAGGCAGTGAACCCCGCTGCTGACGTCAGGGGCCTCCCCTTGGGGAAACTGAGGCCCCTGGCCAGCAGCGCAAGACCTGGGGACACGCGTGTTCTCTAAATGTTTGGGACTTTCATTTCTAGCCTCTTCCTCCAAAAATGCCGAATTCACTGCGCCAACTCTCGAACTCACTTGAAAAGCAATTGTTTTCCACTTGCGCGTTTTATTTTGTATCCTATACAGATTTTGTTTACATATGCATACTGAGATTAAGGAATTTGGGGACTTGTTTTAACTAATTACTCGTTCAATGAGGTGCGGGAGAGTCAAAGTACAGTATTCCTACTGGAAACTCCAAGTCACACGTGTGTATAATCAATGAAAGATGACGATCACAAAACGTGTGTTTTCGCCAGTTTTCTGCGAGGAGAGAAATCAAAAGAGAATTTATTTTTTGGTTTGCATTTTAGCATTTCTGTAAACTTGGGACCACGCTTTCCGTTTTCAGTGAGTGCACCCACACTTTCCAACATTCTGCGCCCGAAGTTGCAACAAACCAAGGTGTCTGAACCACAGGAAGTTTCTTCGGCTGTTCCGCTGAAGTGGCGCGGGGGGACACAGAACTGGGCTCCCAGACTTTTCCTGTCGTGGCCTAAACTGGAACGGCTTGGGCGAATGGGGGCTGCCGGGACCCCCAGCGTCACCGCCGTTGGGGTGCGTTCGGGTGCGACGCTGGCACCGCCGCGGTCCGGGTGTGGGGCATCCACGCTCGCGGCCCCCTGAGAGGGTCAGGGCTGTTTCCCCCTCAACTCCACTCCTCCAAACATGCGACGCCGTTCCTGGTCGTCTCGGTGTCCCCGTCCTCGCTGGGCGCAGAGGGATCAGAGCGTTGCCGTACACCGCCGGGGCGCCTCCCACGCGCGCCGCTGCGGGGGACCTGGGCCACGCAGGGGTCGGGTGGAGGGTCCGGGGCAGGTGGTAGCGGCGTCTCCGCGCTCTGGACACTAACCATTACAGGGTCGCTCAGACGTTTCCCCCGACCGGAGCCCTGAAGGCGCTGCGCTCGGCCACCGCGGGCGATCGCGACCCCTGTGGGGGACCCCCCAGCCCTCCCCAGGTGCGCGGTGCCCGGGCACCCCGGTCGCTGCCCTCCAGCGCCCCCTCGGGGCCGGGTCTGTGGCCAGCGCGACCGCAGACTGGGGTGGGGGGGGTTGTCCCGAGGGGCGGGGGTCGCCGGCCGGCCCGCGGAGGGGAGGGGGAGAGCGGGGTGGGGGGGTTGGGGGAGCAGGGGCCGCGGCCGCGCGCGCGAGGCCGGGCCGCGGCCGCGGCGCCCTGGGGCTGCGACTCCGGCTCCGACTCGGGCTCGCCATGGCTGCGGCGGCGCCGTGAGGAGGAGTCCGCGTCCTCGGTGGCGGCGGCGGCGGCCGGCTCCAGGCCGGGTTTTGGCGCCGCCCGCCTGCTGCCTCCTGGCGGCTCCTGAACTCCAGCCCCCTCTCTATCAGCCGCTCACTCCGTCTCAATATGTCTCAAGATGGCGGCCAATGTGGGATCGATGTTTCAATATTGGAAGCGCTTTGATTTACAGCAGCTGCAGGTCAGGCTCCTCCGCGCTCGGCCTCGCGCCCGGGGGTGGGGGCTGCGGGCGGTCGCGGCCTCCGCCGGGGGCCCCGGGCTGGCCCAGCCGCCGGGGGGCCCGCGGCGGCGGGGAGGAGGGGGGTGCCGGGCACCGCGGGGCCGAGTCGGGGCCGAGTCCCTCCCGCTCCCCGGCCCCCATTGATCACTCGCTTGATCGGAAATTGATCCTCTTTGTTCAATTCATCGATCAGCCCAAGATGGCGCCGGGAGCCGCCGCCGCCACCGCTGCCCCCGGTGTCTGCCCCCACCCCGGGCGCCCCCCCGGGCCCCGCGCCGCCGCCGCCGCCGCCAGCGCCGCCGCCGCCGTTGCCGCCGCGGGACCGGGGAGGGGGCGGCCCCGGCGGCCCGCTGGGCGCGCGCGCGAGCAGGGAGCGGGGAGCGGGGAGCGGGGAGCGGGGAGCGGGCGGCGGGGGGCGGGCGGCGGCGGGCGCCGGGAGGGGGCCGCGGCCCGGCGGTGGCGCCCGCCCGCCCGCTCGCCCCGCGCCCCTGGCCCGCAGTATTCCCGGGGAAAGTTTGTGGGGAGTTGCTGCGGGGGGTGAAGCGCCTGCCTCTCCAGGAGGAGCCGCCGCCACTGCCGCCGGCGCGGCGGAGCTGGGGCTGGTGGCGCTGTGGTGCCGCCGGCTCGGGGGAGGGTCAGAGCGGCCACCGGCGGCGGCGGCGCGGCCCGGCTCCGGCCAGGCGGGCGGGTGGCCGGGCGGGCGCCCGCGCTCCCTACCCCCGGCCGGCCCCGGCCGCCGCCCCCGGCTGTGACCGGCCCGGGCCGCGCAGCCAGTCCGGCACCCCGCGTGTGGCTCCCGGCGCGGACCCCTGGGTTTGTTTACGTCCTGGGGAGCGCCCCGGGGCCACCCGCACACCTCGCGGCCGCCCCGCTCTTTTGTGTGCCTGTGTCGGTGGCGCGGACCTGTCCTTCCGTGGCCGGGGACCCCCGCGGGCGCGCTTTGGGGAAACTTGGCGAGGGGCGGCGGGGGTGCCCCGCGCGCAGTGCGGCTGGGTCGCGGTGTCCCGGACCGCCGGGTGCGGGCGCGGGTGGAGGAGGCTGCAACTTTCCCCGAGCGCAGGCCCCGTGCTGTTCCCCCGGGTGCCCGAGCGGGGGACGCTGCCTCCCCACCGCCTGTCCGAGCCGAGATCGCCGCGCGCCTGGGGGCTCCGGCGGCCCCCAGTGACCTTCGGCGCCCGCTCCTTTCCTTGCCTCCCCTCGGGGCTTCTGCCCTCCTGCAGGGCCCGCCATGGAGCGCGCGGCGGGTGCGCTCGGAGATGCCTTCTCGGGCCAGGTTCTCGAAAGCAGAGCCCCGGGGGCCCGTTGGGACCCTGGCGTGCTGGGCAGTGGTCCGCGCGCAGAGTCCCCGGCGCCGCGGGGGGACTGTGCCGGGGCTCCCCGGCCCGCGCCAGAGCCGCCGCCGTGCCCAGGGGGCGAGTGCCCGCCTGCCACCCCCCGCCCGGAGGAGCGGCGCGCCCTTAGGGTCCGCCCCGCACGTGCCAGCTCGGCGCCCGCGGCGCCCGGACAGCCCCGGGACTCTGCCAGGTGGATGTTGTGCGTAGCCGGAGCCAAGTTGAAGGTGAGCGGCGTGTGGGCCAGAAGTCCCGAGATTGCAGGCGCGAGGGGAACCGGGGATGTGGAGGGGGGGGTGCCTGGGTCCCGCGGTTTAAAATGCCCCACTACTGCTTGGCGCTCTGGGAGGGGATAGGAGGGTTCCCCAGGGCCTGGGGAACTGCAGCTGCTCCCACTGCTAAGGTGTGTGTGAAGGTAAACTTGACTGAACTTTCCTAACCTGGAGGACTGGTGACAGTGACCTACAGCAATACCTTTGGGAGCAAAGCGGCTGAACTCGAGATGCAGGCTTGTATGAAACGAAGCGGGTTGGATTAAAACATATTTAAATGGGATCTGACAACTTTAATTGTATATGCTTGTTTTCTGCTCTTGCCTACTAAGAACGATAAAGCCGAGTCATAGTCGTTATGAAATTTCCTGAAATTTCTCGCTTAACTAGGAAGAAGACTATGCGAAATATGTATTTCCGATAAGATTAAAACTTAAAGGAGTTTGAGTATTTATTGACTAAAATAGATTACTCCAAAGTGTCTATTGTGTAAATTAGATTCCTGGATGTAATGAACACAGCCGAATGGCATTTTTGATAAATTGGTCTACCCTGTTTTAGTAAAAATAGCTCCCTTTTACCATAATTTAATTCCTGTGCTTACTGTAAAACCCGTTGTGGAGTTTTAAGAGACAAACATTATTATTATTTTTCCCTCTTCCTAAATGTGACATCCTAGCTTAATATCAATGAAGTGTCCTTTTTAAAGCATCCTGGCAAACCTGCCAAATGGATTTCGTTTCTAGAGTTACTAGATTTTAAGAACTCTAAACCATCCTGTCCCCCATATTAGCTACTTCTTCAGGGGATCAGGGCTCCAGGACTCCATGGAAAGTTTCCATGTCACTTTACTTGCACTTTATGTGGATATTAAGAAGAAAACAAAACCAAACTCCAAAACAAAAATCGCTTATTTGAACGTCATTCCTCTTTACTCCTTTGCTTTTGGTGGTTGCTAATGATTTGGCCTTAGATGATTTTCTATGGGTTTGCAAACTTCAATCGAATAGGAGATGTCAAAGTTCAAGTCTCAGGCCAATCTGGTTCTTTCTCTGGGCCGTGAGGAGGCCTTTGGAGTTGGTGTCTGGTTAATTCCCACCAATAGTCAGTGAACCAATAGGACTACAGTTTGGGAGAGAATTCATTAGTTTCAGATTCTTCTCATCTTTCCAGACCTCTTTATACTGAGATTGGGTTGCCACCTGGGGGTAAAGAGGCTGATTGGTCTCAGCAGAGACAAATCCAGGTTGGAGACTTCAGTGGGTCCAGGTGAGGTTGGGCAGTTCGCAGTTCTGCAACCACCCAGTGAGCCAGGGCCTCCAGGTTCTTGTCCCTCGGCTTTCTGGGTCTTGAAGCTGCCGCCTTGGCACAGGAGTGCATGCTCAGGAAGAGAGTTTCTGAAGATTGTGTTTTATTCCGTTTCCTTTTTAGTCCCAAAGGCTTGTGGTATGGAAGTTTCAGTGCTTTGGTATTGCTAAGACTAGTTGGACAAGTTTTTTCTCCTATCTCAGACTTGTAAAAACCAGGTTTTCTTTTCTTTTTAAATAAGAAAAGCACTGTTGTATAAATTTGTCTTTTAAATACATATTTGTAAAGAGGACACTTTCTAAGGCTCATGGCACTCTATGTTAGTGCAGCTTTGAACTCTTTAGGACGGGCCCGGCCAATGACTGTCTTCCCTTTGGGACATTATTCCCACATGGCGTCCAGCCTTCCCCTTTAAGCAGCCTCTGCAAAAGTAAATTTGAAAAGTTGCCTTCTTTTTCAGAATCAAAAAACAATTTCAGTTTTGCTGAAAGTCCATTTTCTGATGGCTTTTTTTTTTCCCCTGTTGTGGAAGCGTGTATGTTACTGGCTGTCCACTACTGTTTACCATAATAAGTATATTATTTTAATTAAAATGTCCCATCTAGTACCCTTTATAAAATAACGGTTCAAGAAATTACACCACTGCTGCTTCTGCTTTTGTTTTCTTGGTTATTTTAATATGGGTGTCTTTGAGGTTGGATGTGGGAAGGGGTCATTGGCAGTTGATTTAAGTTTTTTCCTATGTGAAACTCTTTTTTTTCTTAAAGATGCAAGTTGGTGAGTTAATGCAACAACTCCTGGTATAGTTGAGTCCACAGACACCCCTTTGACTACATCCTCAGCTTCATGTATCTTCTGTCGGTAGTTAGCCAACCTAAGAAAGTTGAAAGGGCCAAATTGTCCAATACCTTCAGGAATGCTTCCCTCCTAAATCCACTGAGCTAACCTTAAAAATGCAGTCTGGCGAACTGTGCTGAGCCTAAAACCTTTAATGGCTATTTAAAAAGTCTCCTATTGCCATACAATTAAGACAAACCCATCAGGGTTTATATGGGAACTGTGCAGAAACAGTAGTTTGTGCTTTCTAATTCCCCTCCGGGTCTACCTGTAGCAGTAAACAATCAAAACCGCTCCTGAGGCTGTACTCACTTTCTGTGTCTTAGGAGAGAAAACAAGGCTAGAAGTAGAAAGTCCACATTTGTTTCAGCTCCTCTGTAATGCCCCAGGAACGGCTGTTTTTAGTGAAATGAAGGAAGGACACATTTGTTAGGGGAAAACTCATACATTTCGTAAACAGAGAAATTCATCATATGAAGAATCATACAGAGGTAGGTTGAATTCCTACCTGTGCTTCCATTTCAAATAGTTTACACAATTGTCACATGTAAATTTCCCAGACAGGTATATCTGACGAATTGTAACAATTGTAACACAAATGCTACATAAAAGGCAACTCTAACCATTATTTGAATATACAGGACCCAGGATCGTGAGTTATTGTAGGAATTATTTAAGACCGATTTAAAATTATTGAATACGTAACTTTAAAAAATATAATTGCTCTCTCTATGAAAAGTGACTTTTATTAGTAATTGTCAAAGACAGAAATTTGT